TGCTGTGGATTGGCAGACGTTTGGAGGAATGTGGTGGTTGACTATTGTGGCAGAGCAGTAGTATCCCTACCTCTGATCCAGGAGGCCTGGGATCAATTGTCATCTGCTCCAGAGCTGTGTATTAACATCTCTGAGCAGTTTGATTAGAAACTATGTACATACTGGTTTGCTGTAGACATGTCGTAGAGTCAAAACGATGTACAGCCTGGAAATAGACTCCTCGGCCCAACTCACCCATTCCGACCAGATATCCTAGGTAAATCCAATCCCATTTGCCAGAATTTGGTCCATAGCCTCTTAAACCCTTCCTATTCATATACGCATCCAGATGCCTTTAAATGTTGTAATTGTACCAGCCTCCATGACATCTCATTTCATACACGCACCACCCTCTGCGTGAAAAAGTTACCCCTTAGGTCCCTTTTAAATCTTTCCCCACTCACTTTAAACCTATAGCATCTAGTTTTGGACTCCCTCACCCCAGAGAAAAGATCTTGTCTATTCACCCTATCCATGAATCTCATGATTTTATAAACATGTATATGTTCATCCCTCAGCCTCCGACACTCCAGGGAAAATAGCCCCAGCCTATTCAGCCTCTCCCTATAGCTCAAACCCTCCAACCCTGGTAACATGCTTGTAAATCTTTTCTGAACCTTTTCAAGTTTCACAGCATCCTTCCTATAGCAGGGAGACCAGAATTGCACATAATATTCCAACAGTGGCCTAACCAATGTTCTGTACAGCCACAACATGACCTCCCAGCTCCCATACTCAATGCACTGACCAATAAAGGCAAGTGTACCAAGTGCCTCCTTCACTATCCTGTCTACCTGCAACTCCACTTTCAAGGAACTATGTACCTGCACTTCAAGGTCTCTTTGTTCAGCAATGCACGCCAGGACCTTACCATTGGGTGTATAAGTCCTGCCCTGATTTGCCTTTCCAAAATGCAGCACCTCACATTTATCTAAATTAAACTCCATCTGCCACTCCTCAGCCCATTAGACCATCTGATCAAGATGCCATTGTACACTGAGGTAAACTTTGCTGTTCACTGCACCTCCAATTTTGGTGTCATCTGCAAACTTAGTAACCAAACCTCCTATGTTCGCACCCAAACCATTTATATAAACGACGAAAAGCAGTAGACCCAGCACTGACCTTTGTGACACACTGCTGGTCACAGGCCTCCAGTCTAAAATCCAACCCTCCACCACCACTCTCTATCTTCTACCTTCAAGCCAGTTCTGTATCCAAATGGCTAGTTCTCCCTGTATTCCAAATGATCTAACGTTGCTAACCCGTATACCATGAGGAACCTTGTTGAACACCTTACTGAACTCCATATATCAAGTTAGTGAGACATGATTTTCCATGCACAAAGCCATGCTGAGTATCCCCAATCAGCCCTTGCCTTAACAAATAATGTAAATCCTGTCCTTCAGGATTCTCTGCAACAACTTGCCCATCATTGATGTAAGGCTCACTGGCCTATAGTTCTTTTTTCCTTACCACCTTTCTTAAATAGAGGCACCATGTTAGCCAACCTCCAGTCTTTCGGCACCTCACTTATGGCTTATCGATGGTACAAATATGTCACCTCTACCCCTGCTGTAACTTGCTTTTACTTTGAAAAGGGTAGCCATTAAATACAATATTTGAACATGGTGTCAGAAGTGAGATGATAAGATTGTGTGAATTTTAGTGCAAAATACAGAAGAATTGAAACTGTACTCTGCAACTTTGAAGTGCTGAGTGAGTCAGAATACCTGTGAATTTTTTGTTCTCTACCACTGTACAAATGAAAGAAGAAATGAGACAGAATTGAAATTTGTTCCATTCTCATTGACAAAACTGTGTAATAGCAAGAAAATTGTATAAAAAGACTGAGAAGTAAGATTTACAATTCTATTATCAGTATTGGGGAAAAAAGTTTTCCAAGTTGTATTTCGCTTGTGATCTCCCTACACAGCAGAGAATATAGACAGGAAGTGATTTCAAAAGCTGTAAAGACATACTTTGAACCTGTGCTGAGTAGCAGTTTCTGGGATACTGGTGCACCTTGGTGTGGTCCCGCACTACCTGCGCATTCAGGGAGTGAAAGGATTTACTGTTCATCGAGATGTTTAGTGGATGAATTGATGCCTTTATTCATGTGGGTGCAGTCAATGACTCTCTGTATTTAAGGGGAACCTGTTAATTCTGCAACTCCACCAGGGTCCACTGGGTCAGGATGTTTGTGATCCCCACCCAAGCAAAGAGGCCAACTGTGAGCTCCCGTTTATGTGTGTCTCTGTTGCAAATATACAAAGGAACCATGTCATTTTGCAGCCTCTTTGGTATGATGCCACTCTTCTCTGTGTATGTGATTTATTTATTGTCACATGTACCTAAGTACAGTGAAAAGCTTTGTTTACAAGCAGTACAGGCAGATCATAGTAAGCAAGGATATACAGATCAGAGGGTGAAAAGAAAACTTAGAGGCATACAGGTTACGTCACATGAAATGTGCCTTGGCAAGATCAGCATTATTTGAAGTTGGAGAGTCCGTTCATCAGTCTATTAATGGCCAGGAAGAAGCTGTTCCTGAACCTACTGGTGCATGTGTTCAAGCTTCTGTATCTTCTGCCTGATGGAAGAGGTATGGCACGCTCTCCTTCCTTCTCACCTGGAAGCCTGGGTCAGGAAGGCAAAAGTTACGTGTCATTCCAAGCTCTCAGGCCCTACTCTCTGTCTCCCTTGGGTATCAGCCACTAACCTGGTTTGAAATGGTTGACTACCTGTCGTACTCGTTGAAACGTTTTAAGTTTTTTTAAAGGGTACCTGACCTCTCAAAAGAACTCTGTCAGGGTTACAGCCTTCTTTCAAAGTCATAAGTCCCTCCAGTTGTGTTTGGGAAATCTCTCCAACAAAAGTCACTATGATTGAAGGCAACTGCACTTTTAAAAATGATGCAGTGCTATGGAACTAACAATTTACATTTCAGTGGCATCTTAAAATGTTTTCGCAAGGTGTTCCACAGGCACAATTATCAAACAAAAAATGATAGAATCAGGTGAGATAATGGGACAAGCGACTAAAGGCTTGGTACGTTTTAAGGAGTTCCTTAAAGAATGAGAGAGAGTCAGAGATTTTTAAGGGAGGGAATTCCAGAGTTTGGGGTCCAGGCAGCTGAAGGCACAGTCACCAATGTGGGATAATGGAAATGGGAATGTGCAGTGTCTCAGAATTGGAGGAGTACAGAGATCTGGGGAGGGTTGTATGGATAGAGGAGGTTACAGAAATAGGGACGCTATGGAGAAATTTGAAGAAAAGGTTGTTGAGAGAACTTAAACATTGCTCAAGGAGACAAGCCATCAACATTTTGGCTTTGCAAGCAGACTTGAAAAATTGAGGTCCCTTTTATGAAGTTTGTTTCTTGCATTCAGCCTTGATGAATATAAGACTAAAAGCTTCAATTTCTTGTCTTCTTTTATCAGAATTATGAGAAATATACTGCTATTAAATATTGACTTGCACCTTGCTTCTATCTTGCAGCCAGAAACACAGCTGTACTGGGAGAAATGGTGGACTATTATAATATCTTGGGAGTGTCTCACAATTCCTCTCAAGAAGATATCAAAAAAGCGTAAGTATTTATGTCTCTGCATCCTTCATGCAGGCTGATATTTTTAAAGTGAATGTATTTGTAAGTTATCTGTATGCCTTTGTAAAGTGGCCTGGAACTTGGGAATTGTTGGATGACGAAGGATCTAAAGATCTATGTCACCTTCTAATCATGCTGGTACTCACATGATGCTGTGGAGTTGTTCACTAATCATAACAGTCAATCTCTATCAGACAGTCCAGAACAAGCTCAGGCATGAGGTAAGAAAACTCACACTGGTGGAAAGCTTTGGGACTTCTCGGATCAAAGTCACATTCTGCCCCCCTCCCGAATCATGTTATACACACTGCCTGACAGGTCCCAAATACCTCTTTTGTTGAAGTCCCAAATACTGTTTTCTGAAAGAAACCAATCCAGTGCGTGTTTAAATGAGTCCATACAACCTGCTCCCACTGCCTGGCTAAGAAGTCTGTTCCACATATGAACCACTTGCTCACTGAAATGTTACTTTATGGGAGAAGGGGACACCTGGTGTCATAAAATCATTAGAAATAGAGTAGGCCATTCAGCCCCTTGAGGTTGCTCTGTATTTAGTAAGATTACTTCAGATCTAATTTTGGTTTTAACTCCACTTTCCTGCCTGATCTCCATAATCCTTGACTCCCTGGTCCCCTTCCTTCAATGCAGTTATCAGTTATACAGCTCCCTGTTTCTTTATAAGAACATAGAAATTAGGAGCAGGAATAGGCCATTTGGCCCCTTAAAAACCACAACACCATTCAATAAGATCATAACTGGTCTGATTCCTGCCTAGCCCGATAACCTTTCACCTCCCAGCCCTCTTGCTTATCAAGAATCTACCCACCCCTGCCTTAAAAATATACAAGGATTCTGCTTCCACCAACGTTACAGGAACAGAATTCCAAAGACTCATGACCCTCAGAGAAAATTTCTCCATGGTTCTGTCTTCAGTAGTCAGTCCTTAACTTTTTAAACAGTGACTCCTATTCGTAGATTCTCCCAGAAGATCAAAATCTTTTCCTCAACTGTTTTGTGCAAATTGCTCAAGATACATCAGAGTAGTCACTCTTTAGTCTTCAAAATTCCACCAGATACAACCCTAGTCTGTGCATTCTTTCCTCAAAAGGCAACCTGCCCATTCCAGACACTGACCTAGTAAACCTCTCCGAGTTACTGGGAATCCTTGCTTTACCTGCATGATAGATCTGGAATTAACACTGATCCCTCACATTGAAAATAGGCCTTTGGTTCTGAAGAAAGGTCCAGACCCAAAACGTCAGCTTTCCTGCTCCTCTAATGGTGCCTGGCCTGCTATATTCATCCAGCTCTACATCTTGTTATCTCCTTTGGTTCAAAATGCCTTCAATAGTGTAATAAATTTTAAAATGGCCACGTGAGGTTACCCAACAGACAAGTTGGTACAACAGTAAATATAACAGAGCAGGGAACATCGAAGAGTCATAAAGCACGGATACAGGGCCTTTGGACCAGCTTGTCCATGCTGACCAGGTTTCCCAAACTCGTCCTATTTACCTGTGTTTGGCCCATATCCCTCTAAACCTTTCCTTTCCATGTACCTATCAAAATGTCTTTTAAATGTTGTAATTGTACTCACCTTTACCACTTCCTCTGGTAGCTCATTACACCTATGAACAACCCTCAGTGTAAAAAAGTTGCCCCTCAGGCCCCTTTTAAATCTTTCTTCTCTCACCTTAAACCCATGCCATCTAGTTTTGAACTCCCCTACCCTAGGGCAAAGACCTTGGCTATTCATCTTATCTATGCCCCTCATGATTTTATAAACCTGTATAAGGTCACCACTCAACCTCCTATGGTCCAGTGGAAAAAGTCCCAACCTTTCCTTATAACTCCAACCCTCCAATCTTGGTAACATCCTTATAAATATCTCTTCTGTACCCTTTTCTAGTTTAACTACATCCTTCCTATAGCAGGGTGACCAGAATTTTATGCAGTACTCCAAATGTGGCCTTATCAATGTCTTGTACAGCCATACCATAATGTCCCAACTCCTGTATTCAGTGCTCTGACCAATGAAGGCAAGTGTACCAAACGCTGCCTTCACCACCCTGTCTACCTTTGATGAAGGGTCAAACAACCAAGGTGAATTATAGAATCCTTCTGGTGCAGAAAGAGGCCTTTCAGCCCATTATGTTTACACTGACGCTCTGAAGAGCATTCCTACACCCGCACGCTACCCCAATAACCCCACATTGCTATGGCTAGTTCACCTATCATGGTCAATCCACCTAACCCGAAGGCAGTGGACGGGAGCATTGCTGATACTTTGAAAACTGATTCATGGTGAGATAGCAGACTGAAAATAAAGAAACAATGAAATTACACATTGGATGATTAGATTGCATCAGCAGATTGATTGTATTTTGGTACACATGACAATAAAATCAATCAGTGAAAAGCTTTGTTTACAAGCGGTACAGGCAGATCACAGCAAGCAAAGAATGTACAGATTAAAAGGGCTTAGAGGCATACAGACTACATTGCAGGTTATGTTGTTTGAGGCTAGAGTCCATTCCTGATTGTGCTGGTGCATGTGTTCAGGCTTCTGTATCTTCTGCCTGACGAATGAGGTTGTAGGAGAGAATTACCGGGGTGCTATGGGTCTCTGATGATGATGGTCACTTTTCTGTGGCAGAGAGACGTGTAAATGGAGTCCGTGGTTGGAAGTTTGGCTTCTGTGATGGTCTGGGCTGTGCCACAACCTCCTGTAGTTTCTTACAGTCCTGGGCAGAGCAGTTGCCTTACCAGGCCGTTATGCACCCGGACAGTATGCTTTCAATGGCGCATCTGTAGAAGTTGGTGAGGGACCTTATGGACATGCCAAATTTCCTGAGCTGCTTGAGGAAGAAGAGGCATTATTGTGCCTCTTGACCATTGTATCTAAGTGGGAAGTCCAGGACAGGTCGTCAGTTATCGTCACTCCGAAGAACTTGATGTTCTTCACTCTCTCAATCTCAGTTCCGTTGATGTAGATGGGGACATGTTCTCCTTTCTTTCTGAAGTCGATGATCAGATAAGTGTAAGGACATCTACTTTGAGAAGTAGAGTTGAATAGAAGTAGAAACAAATTGCTGGAGAAACTTGACTGTGACAGTGTCTGTGGAGAGAGCAGCAGAGTTAACGTTTTGAGTCCAATCTAACTTTTTTTTTGCAGCTGAGACTGAATAGAACACTTGCTGAAATGACGGAAAATTAGAAACTCTGGAAGCCCAAAGATACTTGGGGTGTCCATGTTCATTAAAATAGCATGAGCAGGAACAGAAAATAATCTAAAAGGCTGAAGTAATGCTGGCCTTTGTATCAGGGGAACTACAGTACAAGGGTTAGAAGTTATACCACAGCTGAACAAAACCCTGGTTAGACCACACTTGGAAGTGCTGTGAGAAATTTCTGGGCATCACAACCAGGGAAGCAACTATTAACCTTGGAGGGACTGTTATATATTTACAACTGTAGAGGCTCCAAGATTAAATTATGAGGAGAGTTTACACAAAATAGGGTTGTATTCCTTGAAATTTAGGTTACAAGGTGATTTGGTTGGAGCTTGCCTATCTGAAGTCTCAAGGAAGTAAGGATTAATCTCCAGGACACTGCTGAGAGCAGGAGAAAAGTCATTAGAGAATCAATGCACTTTTGTTTAGATATCATGTGAACTCTATTAAAAGCCAAAAGAACTGCGGATGCTGTAAATCAGGAACAAAAACAAAGTTGCTGGAAAAGCTCAGCAGGTCTGGCAGCATCCGTGAAGAAAAAACAGAGTTAACATTTCAGGTCCGGTGACCCTTCCTCAGAACTCTATTATTTGTTTGCCTTATGGGAGAAGGCAAGAGAATAGGACTGAGAAGCATATCAGTCATAATGAAAGAGTAGAACAGACTCGATGGTCTGATTCTGAATGGTCTAATTCTGCTCCTATAGCTTAGATCTTATGAATATTGGAGATAGGAGGGAAGAAAGAGACCATTTGACTCTGACAGTCAAGAATCATCCAATTGGGTAATAACAAGCCCTTTTGCTTTGTAGTTGGGTATGAGAAGACATTACATCATGAGGGTAGTCTAATTGCAGCAATATCTACTGTTGGAGGTCACATGATGAAACCACCAGGAATATGTCTAGGCAATTGATTATCCACTCGTCATCCCAGTCCCCTTTAATGAGCCTGCCTGGTATAAACTGCAGGACAGCAAAAGCTGATTTCTGCCAAGGCTTCAGATTAAGTGATTAGTTCATAATGCCATGATATATGCAACCAGCAGGATTCCTGAAACAGTATGTGTATAGGGTTGGGGTAGAAAGGTTGGTGAGCTGTCGTAGCTGACAAGTGCAGCTGAAGGAAGTTGGAAATCCCCCTCAACCTGTCTAAGGTTCTTTTTGAGTGCACTAATCTTAAATTATTGGAATTATGTCACATGTCTAAACCATTACTGCTTAACAAGCAGTTTGAGACAGATAAGATAAATGTAGAAATGTGTGGCATTGCTGCAGATAATAGCCCTCTAAACATGACTTGCAGATTTATTGTAATTGATGTATTACTAGAGGTGTGAAGCTGAACAGAAAACCCAATAACTTCTGTAATATTTCTATAATGAATTACAAAGTTAATATGAGATAGTAGGAACTGCCGATGCTGGAGTCTGAGATAATAAGGTGTGGAGCTGGATTTTGATAATTAGTCAATTGATGGTACAGAACTTGAGCATTGCTGAAAAATGTCACATTTTGCAAAACCTTGCGTATTGCACTCATTAGGATAATTTGCAAGAATACCAAGGTAAAGGGAACACATTTATACTTCATTAGGAGAGTCATGGAATCATAGCGTCATACATCATGATAACAGACCCTTCTGTCCAACCAATCCATGCCGATTATAATCCCAAACTAAACTAATCCCCTGTGCCTGCTCCTGGCCCATACCCCTTCAAACCTTTCCTATTCGTGTACTTATCCAAATGTCTTTTAAACATTGTAATTGTGCCCATATCCACCACTTCCTCAGGAAATTCATTCCACACATGAACCAACCTCTGTAAAAAATTTGCCCCTCATGAGGGCGCTTATTGATTGGAAAGTGGATTCTGATTCTGCAAACAGGTACCCAGTTAGCACTTTCCTCTCGTGCTGTTTACATTAGCATTTCTTGCAAATCGTCCTGATGACGATTAAAGTTTTGACAAAATGTTATTTAGCGTTGCTGACGAGAAACAGCAATAATTGGCACTTGTACAGCATTTTAACTTAAACTAATTAGTTTAACTTAATTAACCATCCCAAAGAGAAATGTTGTCAGAAGTTGAAAATAGGTATCATTAGGGTAGACCAAAACCCTGCTGAAAGAAGGATGTTTTTGGGACTGATTGAAAGGAGGGGAAGAGCACAGCTTAGAGAAGAAATTCCAGGTTTGTGACTTGTGCAGTTGAAAGCATGTAAGCAATAGTAAAGTAGTTAAAATAGGGAATATGCACAAGGCCAAAATTGGAATAGAGTAGAGATCATGGAGTGTTTTGGGCTGTAGGGGATTACAAGAATAAAAAGGGTTGTGGTCGTGTGAAAATAATGATGAGTTTCAAATCAGTGCCTTCATAGAACCTGGAGTCAGTATAGCTCAGTGAGCGAGTTGTGGGTTAATGAATGAGACAAGTGCAAGTTCATTGATTCCCTCTTGTTCTACTGCCTTTCAGTCCATTGATCCTGATTCACCATTCTAGTAGATTGGCTAGTTCAGATGCAGGGAGTTTTGGATGAGCTCAGTTTTAGGCAGACCGTGAGAGTGCTGAAATAGTAGAATGTAAAGGCAAGATAAACCTATACATGGAGAAGACTTGGCCTTTGCTGAATTTGCATGTTTCGCGAATGATGACCCTGCGGCAATTGAAATTTTCTTTCTTTATTCCATCTCTCCCCACGTCATCGTAGTTACCGAAAATTGGCACTGCGATGGCATCCGGACAAGAACCCAGATAATAAGGAATATGCGGAACAGAAATTTAAGGAAATTGCGGAGGCGTATGAAGTACTATCGGACAGTGAGTGTTCATACCAAATTGTTTGCCAATTGTTTGTTATGAAGAGTCATTTCCTAAAGACTGTTCAGTATAAGAAAGGGGAGATTCTTCAGCACTTGCTTGCGTGTTTCGTGATCCACTTGTTACTGTGAGCTCTTGAACTTGCAGTTTCCATAGGATTGTAAGAAATACCCTTGCAGTAGCACAAACAAAGATTACTGGAAAAGCTCAGCGGGTCTGGCACCGTCTGTTGAGAGAAAGCAGAGTTCACGTCTCGGGTCCAGTGACCCTCCCTCAGAACTGAAATTAATGTTAACTCTGCTTTCTCTCCATAGATTCTGCCAGACCTGCTGAGTTTTTCCAACAGTTTCTGATTTTGTTTCTGATTTCCAGTGTCCTTAGTTCCCTGGTATTTTTTGTTTACCGCAGTTATATTTATCTAGCTTCCCCTTAAATGCATTGGTACCACCACTCTCAAGTGATGGTGAAGCACCTTCTTAACAATGGAATGCCTTGCTAGGCCATTTCCGAAGGCTTGTGCTAGTTTTTCATTCCACTTTTATTTAATTAAATAGAACTTGATTCCCTATAGCTGCCTTGATGAGATTAGAACTCATCTGAATTTACTAATCCAGTAGATTTTACTGCTGTGCTGCCATTCCCAATGTGATGGAATGATCATTTAGTTGAAATGTCACATATCTTTACAAGTGTCTAATAGTTAGTGAATCAATATTTAGCATTCTTTTCTGCTCTTTTATTTATAATGCTTTCCCTTGTTGACTTTCATGGAATTCCTTAATTAGAATATGCTATATATTGATGAAGAGACTCAGTGGTTTATGCTGGAGCACCCTATTATACTGTAGTTCATCCTGCTCCTTCCCACACTGTCACTGTTATCCTCCTGACCCATAACTGTATCTGTACTGAAGTTAATCCAACTCCCTCCCACTCTCCCAGTGTCCTGTGTTAGTAACTGCATCTCCACTGATGTTAATCCAGCTCCCTCACATTGTCACCAAGTAACCTCTTTCTCCCCACCCCCCACCCCAGTGCTTGTGTTATTGATCGTATCTCTGCTGTTGATAATCCAGTTCCCTCATTGTCATGCTGTGAAACCTATAACAACAGCTCCTTCAGATATTTAAGAGAGAAAAGTGAACAAAACTAGTGTTGGTGCTATATAAACTGAGTCCGGGGAGTTAATAGTGGAGGATAAAGTGGTGGTAGTCAAACTGAACAGATATTTTGTGTTGGTCTTCGCTAAAGAGGATGCAAGTAGCATCCTGGGAATATCTGAAAATCAGGAATTGAAAGGGATGGAGGAACTCAAAAATTATAATTACCAAGGAAGTAATGCTGAGTAAATTGTTGGATCTGAGAGTTGACAACTTCCCCGCTCCTGATGGATTTCATCCTAGGATCTCAAAAGAAGTAGCCTCACTAAATTCAGTTAAGATTCCTCTAGATTGGGAAAATAGCAAATGGAACTCTTTTACTCAAAAATGGAGGGAGGCAGACATCAGGAAACTACAAGTCTGTAGTTTAACATCTGTCATAGGGGAAATGTTAGAAGCTATTATTAAAGATGTTTAACAGGTCACTTGGATAAGTTTGAGGTAATCAGGTGGAACCAACGTGATTTTATCCAAGGGAAATCACGTTTAACTAATTTGTTGGAATTTTTTGAAGAAGTAACTTGTGCTGTGGATACAGGGGAACCACTGGATGTATTAGACTTTGCAAAAGGCATTTGGTAAGGTGCCACATCAAAGGTTATTGAGAAAAATAAGAGCTTATGTTGTAGGAGGTAATATATTGACGTGGATAGAAGCTTAGCTGGCTAACAGGGATCAGAGATTAGGAATAAGTATAGACAAATATTCAGACAGACAAGTGGTGTGCAATAGGGGTTGGTGTTGGGGCCTCAACTCCTCTTTAGGGAAGAAACCTGCTTTTCAGTTGTTTCAGCGGCGGGAGTCCGGGAGGAAGCGCAAGGGCAGCCTGGGAAGGTGAGCTTTTCGATTATAAAAGTCTTACCTCGCGTGACTCCATTTTTGGAGTGTGAGGTAATATATTTGGGCGGTTGCTTTACCCGAAACACTACCGAGGTAGTGTCTCCCACCCATCCTCCTCCTCTAACCAAAAAAAAAAGGTTCTGAGCGCTGATTTGGTAAGGCTACTAGTTTTTTTTAAAATTTGTCCGTTTGGGAATTCAGAACAGTGGGAATGGATGTTAGGGCAGTTATGCTCCTCCTGTAGAATGTGGGAGGTAAGGGTCACCACTAGTGTCCCCACTGACTTCATCTGCGGGAAGTGCACCCAACTCCAGCTCCTTGGAAACCGTGTTAGGGAACTGGAGCTGGAGCTGGATGAACTTCGGATCATTCGGGAGGCTGAGGGGGTAATTGAGAGGAGTTACTGGGAGGTAGTCACACCTCAGGTACAGGAAAAAAGTAGATGGGTTACAGTCAGGGGATGGAAAGGGAACAGGCAGACAGTGCAGGGATTCCCTATGGCCATTCCCCTCAAAAACAAGTATACCGTTTTGGATACTGTTGGGGGGGATGACTTACCAGGGGTAAGCCATGGGGTACAGGTCTCTGGCACAGAGTCTATCCCTGTTGCTCAGAAGGGAAGGGGGAAGAGGAGGAGAGCATTAGTCATTGGGGACTCCATAGTTCGGGGGACAGATAGGAGATTCTGTGGGAACGAGAGAGACTCACGGTTGGTGTGTTGACTCCCAGGTGCCAGGGTCCTTGATGTCTCGGATCGTGTTTTCGGGATCCTTAAGGGGGAGGGGGAGCAGCCCCAAGTCGTGGTCCACATAGGCACCAACGACATAGGTAGGAAAAGGGATGGGGATGTAAGGCAGAAATTCAAGGAGCTAAGGTGGAAGCTTAGAGCTAGAACAAACAGAGTTGTTATCTCTGGTTAGTTACCCGTGCCACGTGCTAGCGAGGCGAGGAATAGGGAGAGAGAGCAGTTGAACGCGTGGCTACAGGGATGGTGCAGGAGGGAGGGATTCAGATACCTGGATAATTGGGGCTCATTCTGGGATAGGTGGGACCTCTACAAACGGGATGGTCTACACCTGAACCAGAGGGGTACCAATATCCTGGGGGGGAGATTTGCTAATGCTCTTCGGGAGAGTTTAAACTAATTCAGCAGGGGGATGGGAACCTGAATTGTAGCTCCAGTGTACAGGAGGTTGAGAGGAGTGAGGTCATAAATAAGGTTTCAAGGTCGCAGGAGTGTACCGGCAGGCAGGAAGGTGGTTTGAAGTGTGTCTACTTCAATGCCAGGAGCATCCGGAATAAGGTGGGTGAACTTGCAGCATGGGTTGGTACCTGGGACTTCGATGTTGTGGCCATTTCGGAGACATGGATAGAGCAGGGACAGGAATGGTTGTTGCAGGTTCCGGGGTTTAGATGTTTCGGTAAGATCAGGGAAGGTGGTAAAAGAGGGGGAGGTGTGGCATTGTTAGTCAAGGACAGTATTACGGTGGCAGAAAGGACGTTTGATGACAACTCGTCTACTGAGGTAGTATGGGCTTAGGTTAGAACCAGGAAAGGAGAGGTCACCCTGTTGGGAGTTTTCTGTAGGCCTCCGAAAAGTTCCAGAGATGTAGAGGAAAAGATTGCAAAGATGATTCTGGACAGGAGCGAAAGTAACAGGGTAGTTGTTATGGGGGACTTTAACTTTCCAAATATTGACTGGAAACGCTATAGTTCGAGTACTTCAGATGGGTCAGTTTTTGTCCAATGTGTGCAGGAGGGTTTCCTGACACAGTATGTAGATAGGCCAACAAGAGGCGAGGCCACATTGGATTTGGTACTGGGTAATGAACCAGGCCAGGTGTTAGATTTGGAGGTAGGTGAGCACTTTGGTGATAGTGACCACAATTCGGTTATGTTTACTTTAGCGATGGAAAGGGATCGGTATATACCGCAGGGCAAGAGTTATAGCTGGGGGAAAGGCAATTATGAGGCGATGAGGCAAGATTTTAGGATGCATAGGATGGAGAAGGAAACTGCAGGGGCTGGGCACAATTGAAATGTGGAGCTTGTTCAAGGAACAGCTACTGCGTGTCCTTGAGAAGTATGTACCTGTCAGGCAGGGAGGAAGTGGTCGAGCGAGGGAACCGTGGTTTACTAAAGAAGTTGAATCTCTTGTCAAGAGGAAGAAGGAGGCTTATGTAGAGATGAGGCGTGAAGGCTCAGTTAGGGTGCTTGAGAGTTACAAGTTAGCCAGAAAGGACCTAAAGGGAGAGCTAAGAAGAGCCAGGAGGGGACATGAGAAGTCTTTAGCAGGTAGGATCAAGAAAAACCCTAAAGCTTTCTATAGGTATGTCAGGAATAAAAGAATGACTAGAGTAAGATTAGGGCCGGTCAAGGACAGTAGTGGGAAGTTGTGCGTGGAGTCCGAAGAGATAGGAGAGGTGCTAAATGAATATTTTTCGTCAGTATTCACACAGGAAAAAGACAATGTTGTCGAGGAGAATACTGAGATACAGTCTATTGGACTAGACGGGATTGAGGTTCATAAGGAGGAGGTGTTAGCAATTCTGGAAGGTGTGAAAATAGATAAGTCCCCTGGGCCGGATGGGATTTATCCTAGGATTCTCTGGGAAGCTCGGGAGGAGATTGCAGAGCCTTTGGCTTTGATCTTTATGTCGTCATTGTCTTCAGGAATAGTGCCAGAAGACTGGAGACTAGCAAATGTTGTCCCCTTGTTCAAGAAGGGGAGTCGAGACAACCCTGGTAATTATAGACCAGTGAGCCTTACTTCGGTTGTGGGTAAAGTGTTGGAAAGGATTATAAGAGATAGGATTTATAATCATCTAGAAAGGAATAATTTGATTAGGGATAGTCAACACGGTTTTGTGAAGGGTAGGTCGTGCCTCACAAACCTTATTGAGCCCAGGTTGATAGCGTTGTTAAGAAGGCGTACAGTATGTTAGGTTTTATTGGTAGAGGGATTGAGTTTTGGAGCCATGAGGTCATGTTGCAGCTGTACAAAACTCTGGTGTGGCCGCACTTGGAGTATTGCGTATAGTTCTGGTCACTGCATTATAGGAAGGATGTGGAAGCATTGGAAAGGGTGCAGAGGAGATTTACCAGGATGTTGCCTGGTATGGAGGGAAGGTCTTATGAGGAAAGGCTGAGGGACTTGAGGTTGTTTTCGTTAGAGAGAAGAAGGTTAAGAGGTGACTTGATAGAGACATACAAGATGATCAGAGGATTAGATAGGGTGGACAGTGGGAGCCTTTTTCCTCGGATGGTGATGGCTAGCACGAGGGGACATAGCTTTAAATTGAGGGGTGATAGATATAGGACAGATGTCAGAGGTAGGTTCTTTACTCAGAGAGTAGTAAGGGCGTGGAATGCCCTGCCTGCAAAAATAGTAGACTCGCCCACTTTCAGGGCATTTAAATGGTCATTGGATAAACATATGGATGATAATGGAATAGTTTAGGGCTTCAGATTGGTTTCACAGGTCGGCGCAACATGGAGGGCCGAAGAGCCTGTACTGCACTGTAATGTTCTATGTTCTATGTTCTATGTTCTGCCATCCTTACCTGATCTGGCCTACGTGTGACTCCAGACCCACAGCCAATGTGGTTGACTGTTAACTGCCCTCTGGGCAATTAGGGATGGCCAATAAATGCTACCCTAGCCAGTGATGCCCACATCCCGTGAATGAATAAAGGAAATTATATAAATGATTTGGATGAAGGGGCCAAAAGTGTGGTAGCTAAATTTGTTAATGAGACAAAGGAAGGTATGAAAGTGAGTTGTGACGGGGATATGAGGAGCCTATAAAGGGAAAGAGAAGTGTTAAGTGAGTGGGCAAATGTTCTGGCGAATGGCATTCAATGTGGGAAAGTGTGAAATTTTCCATTTGGCAGAAAGAATAAAAATGTAGCATATTATCTTAAATAGTGAGAGATTACAAAGATCTGAATGTCTTAGTTGATGAATCACAAGGTTAGAATCTTACAACAATTACAGAAATTGGTTTAGAAACTCATCAGGTCAAGCAGCATCTGTAGAGAGAAAGCAAAGTTATGTTCAGAGGCCAGAGAACATCTTCAAGAGCATAAAAAATGAAAGAACTGCGGATGCTGTAAATTAGGAACAAAAACAGAAGTTGCTGGAAAAGCTCAGGAGGTCTGGTAGCATCCGTGAAGGAAAAAAAAAGGAGTAAAAGTTTCGGGTCCGGTTTTCTCTTTGCAGATGTTGCCAGACCTGCTGAGCTTTTCCAGCAACTTCGGTTTTTGTTTCACATTTCCAGCAGCCACAGTTGTTTTATTTTAACATCTTATAATGTTGGTTTGCAGTGCTGGTGATATTTTATTGTTAGATTCGCTGCTACCAATCCTCTTTATTGTAGATTAATCTAAGTTTTGGAAGGATGCCCATAGGACGTTTCCAGGAAAAAACAGACTGGATCTTGATAATCAGTAAATATTTGTTCTGTAGTAATTATTGGCTAATTACACAATAGCTAGTTATGTTACATCTTTGATATATGATAACCCCTTGAGACATCAGACTCAACTAAGAGTAAATACATGACACTGCTTTAGATACATGCTGTTAACATGCACTGGACGTTCTGCCAACTATACGCAACATGCTGAATACTCTTGGGGAGTTGGACTACACACACATCCCTCTGGACTCTGGTCAGCTCATTCTAGGAACAGTCCTTTTTATTCTAATGACGGGTACATATTGCATGATGTAAGTTCGCCCTTTTGTATACTAACTGCTGTGTACAACAATTACCACCACATCTCTGTTTCTCTCAACTGATCCCTTCCCTAGACCATGGCATCGGCAGGTTCTTTTCGATAGAAACACGTTGAGAAATTAAAGGAACATGAAGAGATCTGAAATCAAGAACGTTGTAATATTAGTGACTTTGAAGGAGTTTTAATGTCCATAAATTATCCCCCAAACAAAGTTGCTTGCTCATTCAAAGCAGTGCATAGCATGAAATGCTGGTGGTAATGCACTGCCTGTTTCCAAGTCCCCATCTCCTGTTTGATCCATTTTACCCAGTGCTGAGAATGTGGAGCTTGCTGCCAAGTGAATTAGTTCAGGTGAATAATACGACTGAAGCATTTAAGGGGAAGCTGGATGTAACATGAGGGAGGAAGGATTAGAAGGATATGTTGCTGACGTGAGGTGAAGTCAGCAGTGAGAAGGCTGGTGTGGTGTATGAACACAATATTATTTGGAATTTTGTGTTCACTTCTGGTCACCACACTGCCAGAAGGATGTGGTGGCTTTGGTGAGGGTGCAGAAAAGATTTACCAGGATGTTGCCTGGTATGGAGGGCGTTAGCTATGAGGAGAGATTGGAGAAACTTGGGTTGTTCTCACTGGAATGATGGAAGTTGAGAGGTGACCTGAAAGAGGTCTACAAGATTATGAAGGGCGTGGACAGTCAGAAGCTTTTTCCCAGGGTGGAAGATTCAGTTATCAGGGGCCATGGGTTTAAGGTGTGAGGGGCAAGGTTTAAAGGTGATGTACGAGGCAACTTTTTTTTTTTTTTTACACAGAGTGTGGTGGGTGGCTGGAACTCGGTGCCAGGGGAGGTAATGGAAGCAGATACTATAGTGACTTTTAAAGGCCATCTTGACAAATATATGAATAAGATGGGAATAGAGGGATACGGTCCCCGGAAGGGTAGAGAGTTTTAGTTGTGACGGGCAGCATGTCGGTGCAGGCTTGGAGGGCTGAAGGGCCTGTTCCTGTGCTGTAACTTTCTTTGTTCTTTGTACCCTGGACTGAATGGCCTGTTTCTGTGCTGCACAACATTCATGTGATATGTGTGCCACTTAATTTTCTTCACTTTTTGTTTGCAGAAAGTAAACGAGAAGTTTATGACAGATATGGAAAGGATGGATTAATCGGAGGAGGTAAGAGCATATTACTTGTTTCAGATTTTCCATTTCAGTCTTGGACTCTTTCCCTTTTACCCCTCTACCACCAAACAACTGTGCAGTTATTTTCATCTACCTGTCCAGACATGCTATGACACAAGGCTGGGGCAGGTGGGACCTGAACCTCGGACTTTTTACTCCAGAGGTAGGGTCTTCCATTTATAACATTGTCTGGGTCTCTGGATTGTTAATCCAGCAGCAATACCACTGTTCTATCATCTCCCCTTCCCAAAGAACTGTGTATTCTGAGGAATAATTGAACCTTTTAAGCCCAAGACCAAAAGCTTGTAATTACTGCTTGAGGGGTTAATGATGAATATTTGCCAAAAGAGGTAGGTGAGGTCCTAAACAAATACTTTATGTCGGTATTCACCAAAGAGAAGAAGTTGGTAGACAATGATCTCAGGGAAGGGAGTGTCAAATTTCTAAGCCAAGTTGCTATTAAAAAGGAAGAGGTGTTGTGCGTCTTAAAAAGTATTAAGTATTAAGCCCTCGGGTCCTGATGGGATCTATCCCACAATATTGAGAGAGATAAGAGAACAAATTGCTGGAGCATTGACGAACATCTTTGCATCCTGTTTAGCCATAGGTGAGGTCCAGAGACTGGAGAATGGCCAATATCGTCCCATTGTTTAAAAAGGGTAGCAGAGATAATACAGGAAATTTTAGGCCTGTGAGCCTCACGTTAGTGGTAGGGAAATTATTGGAAAGGACTCTCGGGGACAAGATCTATATGCATTTAGAAGCAAATGGACTTATTAGTGATAGACAGTGTGGTTTTGTGCGGGGGATGTTGTACCTCGCTAACTTAATCGAGTTTTTTGAGGAGGTGTTGAGGATGATTGATGAGGGAAAAGCTGTTGATGTTGTTGACGTGAACATCAGTAAAGCCTTTGACAAGGTCCCTCATGGCAGACTGATAGAAAAGGTGAAGTCACATGTTATCAGGGATGAGTTGGTAAGATGGATACAGAACTGGCTTAGTCATAGGAGACAGAGGGTAGCAGTGGAAGGATGCTTTTCAGAATGGAGGGTTGTGACTAGTGATGTTCCACAGGGATCAGTGCTGGGACCTCTGCTGTTCGTGGTTTACATAAACGATTTAGAGGAAAACATGGCTGGTCTAATTAATACATTTGTGGATGATACAAAGATTGGAGGAGTTGCGGATAGTGAGGAGGATTGTCAAAGTATACAGCACGATATGGATCAGTTGGAGGCCTGGGCAGAAAAATGGCAGATGGAGTTTAATCTGAACAAATGTGAGGTGATGCATTTTGGAAGGTCAAGTACAGGTGGAAATTATACAGTGAATGGCAGACCTCTAGGGAGTACTGATATGCAGAGGGATCTGGGTGTGCAGGTCCACAGATCACTGAAGGTGGCAGTGCAGGTAGATAAGGTGGTAAAAAAGGCTTATGGCATGTTTGCCTTCATTGGAAGGGGCAGTGAGTATAAGGATAGACAAGTTATGCTGCAGATTTATGGAACTTTAGTTAGGCCACAGCTGGAATATTGTGTACAGTTCTGGTCACTCCACTACCAGGAGGATGTGGATACTTTGGAGAGAGTACAGAAAAGGTTTTCCACGATGTTGTCTAATACGGGGGATTTTAGCTATGAAGAAAGGTTGGATAGGCTGTGTTTATTTTCACTGGAACGCAGGAGGTTGAGGGGTGACCTAATGGACATTTTCACGATCGTGAATGGCATGATTAGAATGGAAAGTATGAGGCTTTTTCCAAGGGTGGAGTGGTTAATTACTAGGGGACGCAGATTCAAGGTGCTAGGAGTGAGGAGGGGGGGGAATGTTTAAAAGAGATGTGCAAGGCAAGTTTTTCACACAAAGAATGGTGTGTGCCTCGAACGCGCTGCCAGAGAAGGTGGTGGAAGCAGACACAATACCAACATTCAAGAAGCACCTGGATGAATACATGACTAGGAAGGGAATAGAGGGATATGGATCCTGTAAGTGAAGACAGTTTTAATGTGGAAGGGTAAAATGTTTTGGCGCAGGCTTGGAGGACCGAAGGGCCTGTTCCTGTGCTGTATTGTTCTTTGTTCTTGTTCTATTTGATAGGGTAACATTTAGTTACAAAAACAAATCTTCTGGAAAAGCTCAGCAGGTCTGGCAGCTTCTGTGAAGGAAAAAACGACGTTTTGGGTCCAGTGACCCTTCCTCGGAACTGAAAGGTTAACTCTGTTTTTCCCTTCACAGATGCTGCCAGACCTGCTGAGCCTTTCCAGTAAATTTGTTTTTGTTCCTGATTTACAGCATCCACAGTTCTTTCAGTTTTCTTGCCTGGGGAAGTCCAGACCAAAAGAGTTCCAGTATGATCATTCTCTCGTGGTCTAAACAAGGTTCCATAAAAGCTTAATGTGTAACCTCATTGCTTATGAACTTTAAAGTGGACACTGCTGTTTGGTTTGTTTTTATTAAGTAGTTTTACTAGCTTGCACGCTACATCTAGTGCTTGTGTGATTTGATGTCCACGTTGCACTTATAGACTTGAATATTTTATTTTTATTAATGTTTTTATTTCTAACAGGCGGCAGAGGCCCCACCGTGGACACGGAGTTCCCAGGCTTTATGTTTTCATTCCGAAGCCCTGACGAAGTATTTAGGGAATTTTTCGGTGGGCGAGATCCTTTTGCAGAGCTATTTGGTGAGGATTCACTGCTTTTGTCTTTCTGCTTTGCCTTATTCCTCTATGGTTACACCTCAAGGCCACAGCGTGATGGCCAGTCACTTTCCACAGGATCCCAAGGGACCCCACGGTGGGATGTAACACAGTAGACTGGGCAAAGTTGTTCCTGTTTGAAAAAGAAACCAGAACGAGAGGGCATAGATTTGAAATGATGTGCAAACAAATCGAGGGTGATGTGAGAAAACCTTTTTCACTCAGCGAATAGTTAGGGTCTGGAATTCGCTTCCTGGAAATGTGGTGGAGGTAGATGCAGCTGAGGCACTCAGGAGGGTATTTGTTGGTTATTTAGATCATCATGGTGTGCAGGGCTATGGGGAAAAGACAGGAGACTGGCACTAGGTAATAGAACCTTTTTCTTTATTCATTAATGGGTTGAGGGTGTCGCTGACTAGACAGCATTTATTGCCCATCCCTAATTCAGTTCAGAATCAACCACATTACTGTGGGCCTGGCGTCACATGTAGGCCAGATCAGGTAAGGATGGTAGTTTCCTTCCCTAAAGGACATTAGTGAACCAGATGGGTTTTTCCTGACAATCGACAATGGATTCATGGTCATCATTAGATTTCTAATTCCAGATATTTTATCGAATTCAAATTCTACCGTCTGCTGTGGCGGGATTCAAACTGTGGCCCCCATATCATTACCTGGGTCTCTAGGTTAACAGTCCAGTGATAATACCACTAGGCCATCACCTCCCCGATGACCAGTTAATAGAGCTGGTGTAGGCACAATGGGCTGAATGGCCGCCTCCTGCACTGTAATAATTTTGTGCATCTGAGATTCTCTAACTGATCCAAAGACAAACTTCGGTTCAATCAAAACTCTGCTGCTCCTATTCTGATGTGCAAAAAGTAAATACCATTCATCCATTCTGGTCTCCAGACTATAGGAAAGATGTTGTTAAACTTGAAAGGGCTCAGAAAAGATGTACAAAATGTCAATGGGATTGGAAGGTTTGAGCTACAGGGAGAGGCTGAATAGGCTGGGGCTTTTTTCCCCTGGAGCATCGGAGGCTGAGGGGTGACCTTTATAGAGGTTTATAAAATCATGAGGGGCATGGATAGGGTGAATAGTCAAGGTCTTTTTCCAAGGGTGGGGGAATCCAAAACTAGAGGGCATAGGTTTAAGGTGAAAGGGGAAAGATTTAAAAGGGATCTGAGCAGCAACTTTTTCACACACAGGGTGGTGTGTGTATGCAATGAGCTGCCAGAGAAAGTCGTGGAGTCTGGTACAATTACAACATTTAAAAGGCATCTGGATGGGTACATGAATGTGAAGGGTTTAGAAAGATATGGGCCAAATGCTGGCAAATGGGACTAGGTAAGATTGGGATGTCTGGCCAGCGCAGACAAATTGAACTAAATTGGGTGGCATGGTGGCTCAGTGGTTAGCACTGCAGCCTCACAGCGCCAGGGACCCGGGTTCGATTCCGGCCTTGGGCGACTGTCTGTGTGGAGTTTGCACATTCTCCCCGTGTCTGCGTGGGCTTCCTCCGGGTGCTCCGGTTTCCTCCCACAGTCCAAAGATGTGCAGGCTAGGTGGATTGACCTTGCTAAATTGCCCATAGTGTTCAGGGGTGTATGGGTTATAGGGAGATGGGTCTGGGTGGGATGCTCCAAGGGTCGGTGTGGACTTGTTGGGTCGAAGGGCCTGTTTCCACACTGTAGGGATTCTAAGATATGAACAATTCTAAGATAAAGAGTCTATTTGTGCTGTATAACTCGATGACACTATGACCTGCTGTGCTTGGTGACCCAGGTTTGAGGCATTGCCAGACAAGGACGCAGTTTTAAAGTTCTAATCCTCATGTTTAAGCCCCTTCATGCCCTCACCCTCCCCTGTTTCTCTCTGTAACCTCCTACAGCCCTTCAAAACCTCTGTGCTCCTCTAATTCCTTGAGTTATAGAGCCAGGATAGAGGATTTTCTGCTTGTCAAGTCTGCACTGACCTATCTCTGACTAATCCCACTTTCAAGCCCATTGCCTTGAATGTTATTACATTTCAAGTGCTCATCTAAGCACTTTTTAAAGGTTATGAGGTTTCCCGACCCAACCACCCTCCCAGGCAGTGCATTCCAGACCCCCACCACCCTCTAGGTGAAAAAGGTTGCTTCAAATCCCCTTTAAATCTCCTACCCTTCACCTTAAAATTGTGGCCTCTTTTTATTGACCCTTCAACGAAGGGAATTAGCTGTTTCCTATGCACCCTGACCATGTCACTCATCATCTTATACACCACTGTCAGGCCACCCCCCCAGCCTTCTGTGCTCCAAAGAAAACAACCTGAGCTTATCCAGCCTCCTCTTCGCTGAAATGCTCCATCCCAGGCAACATCCTGGTGAATCCCCTCCTGTGCAATCACGTCCTTCCTATAGTGTGGTGACCAGAGTTACACATAGCTTGAGAGATATTAACATCAGTGCAAACACCTCTTTATCTGTTAGGATCATTCATTGGCATTGTGTAAAAGAATTTGATAACGGATTCTTTTCTCCCTATTATTTCACCTGTAGAAGACTTTGGTCCGTTTTCTGAAGTGGGAGGGATCGACCAAAGTCAACGAGTACCTGGATCGTTCTTTTCATTCTCTATCCCCACGGGATCAGGTACGTCAGAGGTCGGGATAGTGGGATGGTGATATTGTGCAGTTAGTAATAGGGTGGAGTCTAACGCTGCCTAGGGGCAGGTAGAGGGAGAATTGGCCACCATGTTGTGGCTGGTGTGCCTGGCTGCCTGTCTCTGTCTCTATTTCCCCTGCGGCTGGGAGAGGTGTTTGTGTAATGGAGTTCCTGAAATGCCTCTCCTTGCCATGGCTTGGATTTTACTCACGGAGGCTAGGACAAGTGGAGAGCCCAGCAGGGATCACTACCAGTGTAGGTATTTGGGAAAGGTAGGGGTTATATCCCTTCTGAGTTTCCCTGCAATTGTCAGGGGCCACACCTGACTTTTCCCATCTCTGCTTTTCTTTCATGACCTTTACCTTGTCCAGGAATAGGCCCCTCAAGCATGTTTGACTATTCAATATGATCATATTGCTGTTCTGACTGTAAGTTCAAATCTGCATTTTTTGATTACCTTTCACCCCTTGCTTAAGAATCTATCTTTGTCTTAAAAATGTTCAAGGACTCTTCTTCCAGCACTTCAGGAAGAGGATTCCAAAATCTCTCAGCCCTCTGAGGGAAAATATTTTGCCTAATCTTTGTTTTTTTTTTCAAATGGACCACCCTTGATTTTGAAACAGGAGCCCCTAGTCCTGAATTCTCCCACAAGAGGAAACGTCCACCCTGTCAAGACCCCTCAGGATTTTGTTTCAAACAAGTTGCCTCTTACTTTTCTTAATTCCTAGCATGTCCAACCTTTACTCATGCGACAATCCGCCCATTCCAGGTATTAGTCTGGTATAATTTCTCTGAATTTCTTTCAATGCGTTTACATCTTTCCCTAAGTAAGACCAATTCAGGATGCAGTGCTCCAGAAATAGCCTTAGCAGGGTCATGTGTAACTGAAGCATAAACTCTACTTCTACATTCACTTCTTGTGCCAAATAATAACATTCCATTAGCTTGCTTAATTACTTACTGTACCTGCATAATAACTATCTGCGATTCAACCCTCTGCTGGTCTCCTCTGACAGCTGCACACACACACCCCGCTTTGGTTAATGGGTCACTGTTTCTCCATGCTGAACACCACATGGAGGGTGTACTGAGGGTGACAGAAGTACAGAATGTGTTCTGGGTGGGAGACTTCAGCGTCCATCACCAAAGTAGCTCAGCAGCACCAGAACTGACCGATGGCTGAGTCCTAAAGGACATAGCTGCTAGACTGGGTCTGTAGAAGGTGCTGAGGGAACCAACAGGAGGGGAAAAGCAAACTTGACTTCAGCCTCACCAACCTGCCTGCTGTAGACTCATCTGGTTATGACAGTATCGGTAAGGGTGACCACCGCATGGTCTTTGTGGAAGTGAAGTCCAGTCTGGACAATGAAAATACCCTCCATTGTGGTGTGTGGCAATATCACTGCATTAACTGGGACAGATTTTGAACAGATCCAGCAACTTGAGGCTTGGGAATCCATAAAGTGTTGTGAGCCTCAACTGCAGCAAAATTGAACTTCAGCATAGTCTGTAATCTCATGACTCAGTGCTGTCACGGGTTCAAAAATCATGGAGCACCCTCCCTAACAGCACTGTGGATGTAACCAGACCCCAAAGACTATAGCAGTTCAAGAAGGCGCCTGATGAAGGAACAACACTTGAAAGCTTGTGAGTTCAAATAACCTGTTGGAGTGTAACCTGGCGTGTAATTTGTCACTCTGTCCATAACAGAATTGATAGGAGTGACCACCACATAGTTGTTGTGGAGATGAAATCCCATCTTCACGCTGAGAATACTCTCCAGTATGTTATGTCACTGAGCTAAATGGGACAAATTTTGAGCAGATCTAACAATTCAGAACGGGCATCCATGAGGTGCTGTTGGTCATCAGCACTAGTAGAATTGTACTTTTTAGTACAATCTGCAATCTCATGGCCTGCTTTATCCTCCACTCTACTATCACCGTCAAGCCAGGATATTAACACTGGTTCAATGGAGAGTGCAGGAGGATATGCCAGGAGCAGGAGCAGCACCAGACATACCTAAAAATGA